GAGATATTTTTATCTAATATTAAATGGACGCACAGAACTTAGCGAATGCACAGCAACCTGGACAACCAAACCAGAGAATATTCCAAATGAAGTTAGAATACAAACTGCAATGGCAAACTATGGTCAAGTGCCAACAGATGTACAAATGCAAACTGCCATGTCAAATGACGCTGCGTTAGGTTTGCCACCATGGTATGCAAATATGAGATGGAAAGAGTTTTATACAAACCCTGAAGTGGGATATAACAACTTTATGCAGATGACGCGAACACAGGAGTTGACCCAGAATATGTTTTCTACCAGAGGAGAAACAGAATGTATGAGCTCCAGTTAAAGAATGCTATGGAACTCAACAGGAAACGTAAGAGACTAGGCGGACATTAGATTTTTACATATAGTAAAATGGGTTTCTTCAGTAGTATTGGAAACTTCTTTCGAAATGTTGGAAGAGGTATATGGAATGGAATAAAAACCGTAGGAAGAGGAATTTGGAACGGAGTCAAAAATATTGGTAAAGAGTAGGTCAGTTCGTTGGTATTATACCTAAAGACCCTGAACCAGAAGAACAAGCTCCTGTTATACAACAGCCTGAACCTGCACCACAGTCTAGTTGGCAACCAAATCCAACACCTCAACCGTATTAAAAAATTATTTTTTACCGTTCGATAGTAGTTGTATATGAAACTAAGTTCTAAGTAAAACGCGTGGTATAATGGAATTATTCTTTTTCTTCCATCTGTAGTAAACCATACTTGAAAGTCTGAAATACTTCCACTCGGCGGTTCATATAACTTTGTAGGTTTTTCGTAAAAGTCATTTGCCAAGCATAAGAAAGAGTTTTGAGCGCCAGAAAATGAAGCATGAACAATAATAGCAGCTGGGTCGAAAACATCTTTAAATAAATATGGTTCATCTCTTGCATATCGACTGTAAATATTTGCTAAAGGAAGTTCGACTTTCTGATTTAAACATTCTTTGCAAATAATACCATGACATTGCAGTGAATTCTGTATATATTGTTCGTCTTTCTTTGGATTGTCTTCGTAGATTTGAAATGACACTTGTGAATTTTGTTTGTCATATACAATTCTCACATAAAGTGTGCTCTCGGTATTTGCATATTCATCAGCATATTTTGCATAACATGAATTTATTTTATCTTCTATATTTTTTAACGCAGTCTGTAGAGAAGATGAAAGGTCAACTTGTATTAGCTCAATTTCTTCCCACATTTTTCGTTTCCCTTCAGATATATAATCTATATGAAAACCTTACAATAAATGGAAAAACTTTTATCTTCTACAGACACAAACTTCATTCTACGAAAGCCAATAGCTTTGTGACAGATGGGGTCTCTTAACCATCTTAATGGGTAGTCAAAACGATAGCCTTCATGCTTTACGGTCTCTGTCTCAAACTTTTGACCGACATTAGTAAAAAGTTCATCTAATGGTTTAGTTGTAGCAACTCTTGAATTTTCTTTTTCTATTGGAAGCATATTTTATCTAGAATAAAATGTCAAATGAAACAGCGTCTATGAGAGAAATACAACACAACCGACAACTCATTATGCAAGCTCTAAATAAGAACACAACAAACTTTTCAAACTATTCTAAGATATCTGAGTCATTGAAAGAAGGAAACTTAAAACTGACATTAAACCCAATGACAGATGAGTTTCTGTTTCAAGACAATAAGAACCATACTGTCTGTATAAATCCAACAAAAAGAACTTTAAACGAGAAACCTATAGATGAACTTCTTTTGAAAGCAGATAATTGACAACAAGCTGACAAAGAGTATGTCATTGAAAAGTTCAAGAAGAACATGACAGAGCAGATGCAACATATGCAACAAAAGAGGATGTTGAAAAGAAAGCTGACAAAGAGTATGTTGACGATGAGTTAGCATATCTGGCTAGTGGGTTAGTGAAGAAGGCAGATAAGGAATATGTGATGAAAAAGACAATGAAATTATAAAAAAGGGTTGAATGGTACCATGAACGGACATCGAAGATTTTAGAAGGTAAAGCCAATACAGGGTGGGTTTCAGGATGTTTAGACCTTAAAGCCGACAAAGAAACTGTAGATATGTTGACACAAACGGTTTCAAGTCATACCAGAGGTTTAATGGAAGATGGACAACAGTTGAAAGAGCTTGAGAAAGGTGTTACAGAGTTAAGGAATACAAAAGCAGACTCGACATGGATAGCTGGATATGTAGATGCAACAAAAGAACGTATTTTAGCATGGACAGAAGGAACATACCCACAAAAATATCATAGACATAGCATCTCTGACGTAAATGAACTTGAAGAAAGTTATATAAAAAAGCAGACAAAACAGAGCTTCAAACATTAAAGACAGAAATACTTCAAACAGTATATCCTATAGGTTCTATTTATACGTCAATGAACTCTACCAGACCAGAAGTAGTACTTGGTCTCGGAACTTGGACTCAAATAGTCGACAGGTTTTTGTTATTGTGCAGACTCTTCAAAGGAAACAGGTGGAAGTAAAACGATTTCAGGTGAAAATTTACCTGCACACAGTCACTACATAGATTTAAGTACATCAAGCAAGGTTGGCATAAGCATAGATATTGGGATGGGTCAGGAATGACAAAAGGTAAAGGATATGATGTTAAAGACAGGTTAAGTTTGCTATAAATTGTTTACTGGAGTGACACTCAGGGAGATGGAAACCATACAACATCGCGTTTCGGGATATACACAAACAACGGGACAAAGTAAAGATTACATGCCGCCATTTATGACAGTTTACGCATGGTATAGAATTGCTTAGTCGTCATTTTCAACTTCTTTTAGCATATTCGTCAGGAGTTGTCTTATATTTGTTAGGAACTGTCTTTGAAAGTATACCACCTTGAACTTTGACAAGTTTGAAACGAGGTTCTGACAATAGTAGTTTTTATCTTCTGCTTGCAGTCTGTACATTTTGCCATGTTTTGCCTAAACTTCATAATATTCTCTTGTATACTTTCTTCTATTTTTACGAACACGAAGTGGAGTACCTGTCGAGTTCCATTGTTGTCATAGTCAATAGTATTTTCATATGGGTCGCGTTTAGGTATTTCTATTTTTACTTTGTCACCTTTCTTAAGTTTGAAGCCTGGCATTCTTTTCTTGTTTGTCTCTTTTGACTAAACTATTAAACTATATAGTCTTTCTCTAAGTCGGGGTTGTTTTTCATTTCTTCGGGGGAGTGGTTTCCCAAACCTTTTTGTTTACGGCTATTGTAAATATTTAAAACTTGTCTCATCTTTGCCATGGAGAAATGTCTATATTTGTCGTCATATGACATTTCATCTACCTCACCACCTTGTGGTTGGTTTAAGTCTCTTAAGATTTTTATACAACTGTCAATGACACCAAGAGCAGAATGGTTTTGGTCGACAATGAAATATTGGTTTACATTTTTTGAACGCAGATAGTTTTTAATATCGTCTGATTTGAAAGAACTTTCACAGTCAGATGTCAGTTTTGTTGGATGGTATTTGTCAACGAATATTGTCAAAGCTGCAGATATCTAAAATATTTTTGGACTGTAATGGTATGGCTTCACAGTATCTTGTGTTTTGACCGACAAATATTAGCCAGTATGGTGGTCCATCTTCTCTATACCTCGGAATGTTTTCCAAGATATCCATAAACCAAGCATTTGGTGTTGAACTAAAGATTTTTATCATGAGTGCTTTCTTTGTTGCCTTAGAAACATAGGGGTCCTTGTTTGGATTCGTCATTTTTTACCCATAAGAAATGGGTTTATTTGGCGCATTAGCAGGAGTTGCATCCAGATTTTTGCCCGCAGTGGGAACAATAGCCAGAGGTGCATTTGGAATTGGAAGGAAGATTTTGAGTACATTAGGTATACTGAAAGAGAAAGCACAACCTATTATACAAACTGTACAGAAAGGTTGGGATGTAGCACGAGATGCAGCAAATCTTATTCCAAATCCTGAAACAAGAGGAAAAGTTCAAGGATGGATGGACAATGTAGGAAGACAAGCAGGAAACTATTATAACAAAGCAAATGACTACTATAACCAAGCAGGGCACTATATGGACCAAGGTGAAAGATTCTTTAACAGAGGATATAACCATGCACAACAGTGGGTAAACAACAACCAACCTCAACCGCCTCAAACGTGGGGAATGTAAATTTTTTACTGAGATGAAATGAACAATACAGCATTGAGACAAATGGGTTCAAGATGGATTTGTCGACTTCCAGCAGTTACACAACCACGTGTTTGTCAAGTTCTCCTATACCTCAGGAAGTTTTAGACCGACTTAAAAAACCTAAACAACCAGTTGAAAACAAAACAAACTAAAATTTTTACTGAGATGAAATGACCGAAGAAGTTGAAACGGTAGATTTGACACCACAAACAAAAAGTTCAGAACCATTGTCAAAACCTGTCAAAGAACTTACAGATGAAGAGAAAAATTCAATAATAGAAAGTGCCAGGTCTGGAAATACAAACCCTAACTACAAAGTCACTTTTCATAGAAATGGAACGGCTAGTATCTCAAAAAAGAAACAGACTCTCACAAATAAAATATTGAAGTCTGAAGGAGCTTTCGAGACAACAGATGGAAAAGTTTACTTCACTGACCAACAGTTCATTATAGAACATCTCATTGACTTAGAGTCGAAATATTCTAAACTTTACAACAAACACAAAAAGTTGAAAGGAAAACAAAAACAAATGGCATATGATATTTATGAAGATGTTGACGACACAACTGTTCCTGCAGGTGAGGTAAAGTCAGAGGAACCGAAAAGTGACGAAAAACCGATAGAAGAAGAGAAACCAAAAACTGAAGATAAACCAAAACCAAAGTTTAGTTTCCAAACTAAACCAAGTCAACCTTCATTAGCTGGTATGGGTTGGCGTCAAAGACTTATGGCAGCAGGCGGTTACGTAAAGTAAAGAAAAAACATTTTTTTATTTTTATAAAAATGCCCCCATATAGAATGGATAGAAAATCTGCTAGAATAAAAGCAGAGTTAGAAAGATATGGTTGGAAAGTTTCGAAGAATTTTAAATATAGGAAGGGAAGACCCATAAAAGTCTATGACAAACTGGCTGGTCTTCGCTATGAAATGGACTTAGAAACAGCACGCGCAAACTATCCAAACAGATTAGAGAGGTTAGAAGAAGAACGTCTTATGGACATGCCTTTCGATGTTACTGAGCCTCAAGTTGAAGGACACGACGGCTTTGCCAGATTCTACTGGAAACATGACGAACAATTGTATCCTTTGAGAAGGAAAAAAGGAAAAGGTGAAGACAAACATGCTCCCATGGAAAGAACAAGATATGCATATGAAAAGTACCGTGAAGTTAGAAGTCAAATTACATCTGGTCGAACCTTTACAGTAAACTTTGACGAAGGAAAGAACAAAGAAGGCTTCATGGGTGTACTTGCTGCAATTCAAGACGGAAATAAGAAAGGATACAATCTCAGACTAACCGTAACAGATTTGGACGGTCATATATACTATGCACATGGCAATGTCACAACAGCCGCACAACTTCTTGACGCTTTCAAGACTACAAAGAGAGAACAAATGGTTGACTCCGACTCAGACATTTTGAACGCAATTGAAGGAATTGCAAGTGTCAAGTTCGAATGGTACCAACCTAACCCTCAAGCAGTCAGACAACATGCTGGATACTTCCCGTTCATAAATAAGTCTGACATTGACTTGACAAGGTATGGAATTTACAATTCAATTGAAACAATTGTCAACGAACCTTGCATTCTTACATGTCTCAGGAACTCTGGTCTTGTTACAGAAGAGAAGATGAAGTATCTTGAGTCATGTGTGAAGACAAGGTACATGCTCAGAAGTCAATTGGCAAAAATTGCACCGTTGGCAAATGTCAATATCCGAGTCAACATACCTACAGCTAAAGGTTCTTCACACGACGACTATGTTGTTGACAAAGACTTACCATGGTTGAAGATTGTAATTGTCCACAACCACTTCATGTTGAACGAAAGTCTTATGTTCGGAAAAGGCAAGTGCAACATTGTCAGAGCTGTAAACATTCTTTTCGAGAAAGGTTTGTTGGAACCAATTCCAGATGACAAGCTGACAGAAACTTTTGTACCAAAAGACGAAACAAACTTTTCACTGTTAGCAAGACCAAAAGTTGTTCCAGACAAAGTTATAGCACAAAAGAAGTACACAATTCCACAAGGAGTTGGATTGTTCGGATACCAACCTGAACCAGAAGAACTTCCAATGAGGTTGCAAGAACTTCAAGATGCTATAAACAAACTTCCATTGAGACATCCAATCGACGTCAAATTGTATTGGAGAGCATCTGAGTTAGGTCAGAAGGTTTTATATGAAACAGGTTGCTTCGACGATGTTTATGAGATAACAGGAGAAGTTTCTCAGAAGATAAGAGACTCACTTGAATTTCCACAAACTGGACCAATTGGTTGCGACAAGTTCGACTCAGATGAAAAGATATACTATGTCGACCTTAACGCTGCGTACATGAGGTTCGTCCAATATATTCCAACTGGAATTCCAAACGAAGATGGTGAGTTCCCAGGAAGGAACTATACAGTTGGAAAAGTCATACAACAACTGTATGATATTAGGAAAGCTTCAAACCCCAAACTTGCAATGACACTCAAATTGCTTATGAATTCGACATGGGGATATTCCATTAAAAAACCTCAAAAGATGAAGAGTAAACACTATGAGAAGGTCGACAACTTTGTTGAAAGGTTCTCCCCTTTTGTTTTGAAATACGAATTACTCAAGGTCAAAGTGGCTTAGTAACCACATTAAAACCTATTGTCGAACATTGGTCTTATCCTCAGTTCGCAAAGCAGTCCTTGACAACTACAAATTCTTCTCCGAGTCAAATCAAAGTGTGGTATACTACGAGAACATCGATGCACTCATGACGAACGAAGAAGGGTATAACAAACTCATTGAAATGGGAATGGTCGGTGAAAAGATGGGTCAATTCAAATTGGACAAAATTTTCACCGAAGTTCATGTCCTCTCCAAGCGTAAGTACTGGGGCATACTTGAAGACGGCACAGAAATAAAACATTGCATGAAATAAAAAATTTTTATTCGAATTTGAATCGGACAGGTCGAGTTACACCATTCTTGGTCTCAAACTCATATATAACCTGTTTGTCTGTATTTTCGTCGACTATGGCACGAGACACGAACATTGACCAAACGGACAAAAAGTGTCATTTCAGATGGTCACGCAGCCAATCGCATTCGAGCACTTCGAAGAAGCCTTACGTTCCAAGGGAGAGGGTGTCTGGTGCAAGGCAGAGGTCATGAAACTCTACGAGCAGTACATCCTCAATGCCTGGGAGGACAAATCGTCCTTGGATTGGCAATTCTACCAACTCCTCTGGGACGACCTCCTACGCAACTGGGATGACGAAAGAGTCCAATTCAGAGGTCAGGAACTACTTGTCCAAATTATCCTTAATTTAAGCCGCTTACAACTAAAAACCTAAATTTACTCGGGGTTTCCCCCTAAAATAAAATTTTTTTACTCTTAGAAACACTCGAGGTTCTCCTTACGGTTGTTGAGCTTGTCACCGTCAATGTGTCTGACCTTCGTCTTCTTGTTTGGATTTGGAACCCATTGAATTGCGACAAGCTTGCCCATGGAGATTGAACCGCGATTCCGAAGGGTAAGGTTCAAGTGTCCCAAGTTGTTGAGGACTGGGGTAAGAACCTTGCCTGTCTCCTTGTTGCGGATTTGTATGGGTAGGGTTGGGAAATTTCGTAAGCGTCATCGGCAACAAGGGTTGCCCAAACTTCCTTTTCTTCGTGTTTCTCTTCTTCTTCCTCTTCTTCTTCGTGTTCCTCTTCTTCCTCGAAAATTCCTTCTTCAATTTGGTGCTCACGAATTACGGTGTTGCATGTTCTGTCCTTTCCGAGTACCTTCCAGATGGCATCTATCTCTTCGAAGAAACGGTAGATGAGTCTGGCAAGGTCTCGGTTCTCTCTCGCGTAAATGCGCAAGGTTTCCGTCAAATCATTCAGGACTTTCTCATTGGAAGCTTGGTTCATGAGGAACTCACCTTTAAGTCCCTTCATCTCTTCCATAAGACTACTTTGGAGAGTCTTAACGGTGTTTGTCAGATGAGCTTTCAAATTCAAAATTTGAATTTGAACTGGGCGCTTGTCTGGCAACATTGAAAGGACATCTGCCATTGTGTTCGGCTTCGGTGCTTGTTCGGACATCGAAAAAATGAAGTGGTTTGAGAATGACGGTTTTACTTCAAAAAGCTTGTTATGACGGTTAAGTCATACAACAAGTTTAAAATAATATCTTGTTCTTCTTCTGAACGTTTGTTGTCTCTTCCGATAAAAGTTTCGAACATGAGAACCAAAAAACGTTTTTTGAGATTGCGGAAGAGTTCAGGCAAACGTTCATATTCTGGATATGTTGGGAGCAGTTCGAAACATCTGAGCTGACTTTCGGACAAAATTGGGACAATGTCAGAAAATTCATCTTTGGTCGGACTGCTTGAAGGTAAGTCCCTTACATGTAAGTAGCTCTGGTAAAGTCTTCTCATTTCTGCTAACTTTTGGAGTATAGCTTCGTAGTTTAGAAGTTTTAATTTTAATTGTCTTATTCCACTCTTTACTTCTAAACGGTAACTATCCATGAGGTCAAGAGTAGCTTTGGTAGCTTTAAGTGGAGCTATCTGTTCCTTGACTTCTGCAATTTTGGTTGCAATTGTGGTTTGAGCTCCTTCAAGTTCGCCGTCTATGTCGTTCTCAACGCCTTCAACCATGGCTTGAAACTCTTCATCGGTCCATTGAGATTGGTGTGGGACGAATTTAACTTGCTTCATTCAAAAAATGAAAAAAAAATGTTTTTACTCAAAACGTTAAGGTTGACTGAACTGGTTGGATGTCGCCTTCACAGGTTATGTAGAACGGCTGACCCGAGAAGTGAAGGAGAGACTGAATTGCCAATTTCATATGGGGTAGGGGGTTCTCCTTGTTTGGTATTTTTATCCAAGGACGTTTGTTTAGGAACTTAACAAGAGCTTCTCTTTTGGCGTCCTTTATGCCATCGTAGGCTGTCCCGTCTGGTATTTGAATTGGAATTCCAGTCGAAGTCTCGAGCTGAAGTGTAGACCTTCCAGAAATAGTGGTGAACTTGACCTTGGGCTTCATTACCCTGCGCAAGTACTGCTTAACAACTTCATTTATCTCTATAAGGTAAATTGCCTCGTCAAATCCTTCTGGCATTCCGAGTCCTTCCATCCGACAGGAAAATATTTTCCCGACAACTGGAAAAAAATTTCCCGACGACAGGAAGAACTCTTCCAGTTGTCCGTCCGTAAACCATTCAAATTTTCGAAAATTGAGAACTTTTGGTCGAACTTCAGAAAAAGTTTTTCCTTCCGACAGGAAAGGTTTTTCCTTCCGACAGGAAAGGTTTTTCCTTCCGACAGGAAAGGTTTTTCCTTCCGACGGTTAAGCCACAAACAGATGTCCGACGTCCCACCAACCGAGCCCATATCCCAACCAGAAGAACCGAAAGCTGCAGAACCACAACAGTCTCCTCAGCAACCTCAGTTCCAGCAAGTACCTCCGATTTACTACCAATTTCCACCTCAAGGTTACTACCTACCACAAGGCTTCCCGAACTACCCTCCTCCTCAGCCTATGCCTTACTTCCCCAACCCTTGGATGTTTATGCAAAACCCTGCCCCACAATTCCAATCTCAATCCAAGAGAGACCAAGAGTTCGAGGAAGGTCTGAACCGCTTACGCAAAGAGTATGCTACTACCCCAATGGAAGAAGACAGGCTTTCAGTCTCTTCCCTCAAATCGACCGATTCGACTCGTACCACAGATTCAGTTCGTGACCGTGACGACTACCTCAAGCAGTCTGAGAGACTCTTCATCCTACAATCATTTACAGTTGGAGCTCTCAAGAACATGCGCAATTACGAAGGTCAGACACCAGCTGGAGACCGCAAAACAGACGTACTCGCAAGAGCAGTCCAACTGGTCAAGACAAAGACTGAGATAGTCGACTTCATTCTTGCAGCTTGCCCATACAAGTAAAAAAATAAACAATTACGAGTTAAACTTTTTATTCTTTCTTTTCTGAGTTGTTTAGAGCTGGTTTCTCTTGTAGGAACCTTTCGTACTCTTCCATGGTCATGTAATTGCGAATTTGGTACGCAATTCCAGGTTCGTTGTTTTTGAACCTTACGTATGTAACGCTTCCATCCTCCTCAGGGAAGTAAGCTGCTAACATCTGACCAAGTTTTCTCGGTGACTCGGAGCTCATAAAAATGTCACTTTTTAAACGTTAAGTTTTTAGTCTTATTTTACCCTTTGTTTACCCTTTGTTTACCCTTTGTTTGTCAAGGTAGTATTGGAGCGCAATTTCTCCAAATTCTCTGTGTCGGAGTTCTTCAGCATTTTCCAAGGTGTACCTGGAGAACTCATAGAAGTTGTCAAGAACATACTGCCATGCTGCTCTTCTGAGTTCGTCGGTATTTTGGAAGTGTTGCACCTTCGAGTCTTCTGACATGAAAAAAATGACACTTTTTCAGCAAAAATATATTTTAGGGTAGAAGGGTATATCTAACCTCTTTTCTAACCTCTTTTCTACCCTCTTGAATTTTCATGAAATTTACACCAAAAATATATTTTAGGGTAGAAGGGTATATCTAACCTCTTTTCTAACCTCTTTTCTAACCTCATGAATTTGTCATGAGTTTTCCCGAAATAAAAAATAAAGTTGGTTTTTTTAAAAAAATATTTTTTTATTTTTATTGTAAGAACATGTTAGCAACAACAGCACCAAACTCGTTAGTCATGAACCCAACTTCAATGTTAGTAGAGATGAAAAGCTTCATTCCTTCTTCATATACTTTTGAGACAGAAATCCAGAAGATAAAGCAAGAACTTTTAACAAGTAATTTAGACTGTAGTGCGAAAGATGAAACAAATGAACAGTATCTTTATGAAATGCAGGATATTATTGACCATTTACCCAAATTGCCTGAAATCCAACAACAAAAGCTCACTATTCCTGAATTCGATGAAATAGAAGTCAAAGCAACTGACTCAGTAGAAATAAAGAAGTTCATACGAAAGGTTAACTATGAGTTTCTTGGATTTCATTGCAACCACAAAGTCATGGACAAAGATTGCGATATGGTATATAAGAACATCTCTGACATATACAAATCTGGGGAGTTTAAGACCTACGACAACTTTGTTTCGTTAGTTGCTGAATGTGTATGGCAGATAAGAGATAAAGATAGAAGAGTAAGATATGGAATGAACAGATAAAACCCGCAACTTTTGAGTTAAAGAGAGCAATTGACGCCTTAGTCATACTAGCAGGTAAGGTTTCAGAATATAACGCAAAAATGAACCCGCAATGTTCAAAATGTAAGCAGCAATTAGGAAATATAACTACTCCGTCAAAGAGATAGAACGTATGAGAAACGACTATGCTGACTTAAAGAGGAGGCAGAGAAACCAGCAGAAGATAAAATGGACATGTTGACATTTCTAAACAAAAACTATCCAACAGCTGACGATTTCCTTCTTTCAGATGTCAAGAAAATATAAAGAAACCTCGGCATTGTTAAAACATTCGATGTACTGACAGAAGAAATAGAAGCTTACGAAATTGTTTAGAATTTCACGAATTCACAATGTTTACCATGTAAAACGCTTATAAAATAACTGGGGTAGAAATGAGGTTAGATATCGGTTAGATATACCCATCTACCCTAAAATATTATTTTATTGAATTCAGCAACAAAAATTCTGAGTAAAATAATTTTAGGGCTTGTGTCAAACCGTTGAGTTTTCACAAAATTTAAAAAATAACGTTTACCATGTGAAACGTTTATAAAATAACTGGGGTAGAAATGAGGGTAGAAAACGGGTAGATATACCCTTCTACCCTAAAATATATTTTTGCTGAAAAAAATGACCAAATTTCATGAAATTTCTCTAGACCGACTTTTACAGGGGTAGCCAAAACTCATGAAAATCGTGAAAAATAACAGAGTATTTTGACAACTTCAAACAAGCAGAGTAAATGAACCATTTATTTTTATTGACTTTTTACAATTTGAACTTTGTTTGCGTAGATATGAATTCTGAAAGAAGTATGAGGGTCTTGTATGACTTTGTACTTCTCCCATAGTTCATGTCTGTCAAACTTACCTGCCATGGACTCTTTCATAAGTTCCATGAAATCGTCTTCGGACAATCCAGGGAAAAGTATGATATCAGTAAGTATTCTCTTTACATCCTTACTTAAACTCTTGGCTGTCTGTACACAAATGACAACTGAGATGTTAAAGTGTCTGAGCTTCTTAAGAATTCGACACATGTCTTGTTCTCTGTTCTTTAACAAAGGATGAGAAGCAAAGTCATCTAAGATAAGAAGACATCTGTGAGGGTAAGTCTTCCAATCGTAAGATTGCAATTTCTTCGAAATGTATTCTATCTCTTTCTGTTTGTTTCTGAAGTGTTTCTTCTCTAATATTCTCTGCATTTCCTCATTTGGGTCTTTAAACTTAGAATTGACATACTCATTTATAGCATTGTACTTCAAACTCTTCTTTGGTACTTCTTTATCCAATCTAACAACTCAGAGTCTTTTATACATACTAACTTAGACTTCTTTATAATATCTTTGAACGAATTGACGGTTTGATCGAATTGACCAGAAGTACTACAAAT